TATGTTGAATCTGAGTTTCTTTACATGATTGCTAGATAGAATGGAGTTGGTTTTTTTTCTTTTTTTTTTTTTTTACATCAACCCATAATTGTTAATGCTTTCTATTTTCATCTTGTAAAATTTTGATATGTTGTGTTTTCCAAAGAATTAGCCATTTTATTTATATTTTCAAAGAGATCCTCATAACTTTTTCATAATATCCTCTTATTATCTATTTACTATTTATGAGTATACAGTAGTACTTTTTTTTCATCTCTGGGTTAATTTTATTTCTCTCTGTTTCTTTTTTAGTTTTCCTAAGAATTTAATCTTTTCAAAGAATCAACTCTATTTTGTTGATTTTCTGTATTACATGTCTGCTTTCTTTCTCATGAATGTCTATTCTTAACTTTATTATGTCTTTCATTCTATCTTGAATTTGTTTTAGCTTATAAAATCAATATTTAAATCTATTTTTTTAAAAATACACCAATGTGAATATTTCTTCTTTTCTAATACACACATATTTCTATTAAATTTCATAATGCTTTAGCTAAATAACAAAGTTTGACATGGCATGCTCTGTAAAATTTCAGTCTTTTAATTAATCAAACTTGCCTTACAGCCTAGCACGTGGTCAATAATGTCAAATATTTCAAGTAAACTTTAAGTTTTCTTAAGAGAAAAACTCTGAGTTTCTGGTTACATAAAATATCTAATTATTTTTCCAATCTTCTATATCTTTATTTAGGTATTAGTTGCTTTTTCTATGAGAGACTGAGTGTGTTAAAATATTGTATCTATTTCACTTTTGTTCTGTAAGTTTTGCTTTATAGTTTTTGAAACTGTTATTTCGGCTTTTGTTTCTAAATGTTTTAATTTTGATTTTATGTTGAAGAAAACTGTCACCAGATATAAAATTCTAGGAAGACAGGTATAACTTCATCATCATTATCATCATCATTGTCATTGATGCACTTCAGCCTGGTCATATTGGTTTGTTGTTGTTTTTTGTTTTGTTTTGTTTTTTAAAGATTGAACTCAGGGCCATAGACCACTGAGCCACATCCTCAGCCCTACATTGTATTTTATTTAGAGACAGGGTTTCATTGAGTATCTTAGGGCCTAGCTTTTGCTGAGGCTGGCTTTGAACTTGCAATCCTCCTGCTTCAGCTTCCCGAGCTGCTGGGATTACAGGCTAAGGTTGCTTTTTGAAAGGTAAAAGCATTATATTTTTAAAATTGGGATATTTTAAATTTTTACTCTTTATCTTTTATTTTGAACTATTTGATTGAGACATTTTGGAGCACAATTTTCTTTACTTCTCTTGGAGTTTATGGAGCTTCTTGAATCCTTTGTGTGATATCTTTAGTTTTAAAAAACTTTGCTAGTAGGGATTCAAATATTCTGTCTCCCTCTTTGTATTGTCCTTCTGGAACTATAATTATATGCCATTTTAAACAATTTGATTGTGTCCAACCTATATTTTCACATTGTTCTGGATTTATTTTGTTCTTCATTGTATATTTTCTTCTGTGTAATATAGTATGGTTATATCTCATTGAACCTTATTTAGGAGCATTAATTCTCTGTGCTATTTAACCCATACTATGGAACATGGCATTAACAAATTCAAGAATCCATTTAAATTTAATTAATTGATTAAGTAATTTTGGTACCAAGAATTGAACCCAGGGGTGCTTAACCACTGAATCACATCCCCAGCCCTTTTTATCTTTTGAGACAGGATCTCACTAAATTACTTAAATCCTCGCTAATTGCTGAGACTGGTTTTCAACTCGAAATCTTCCTACGTTAGCCCCCTAAGTCACTGAGATTACTGTCATGCACCACTGAAAAATAATTTATTTGATTTAATTTTTTATTGATCAACTTCTCCATCTTTTCATTTGTATTTTCCTTAATTTTTATAATGTTATTTTTTAAAGCCTACATCAAAACATCAAAAATATCATCTATTACATTTGATAGTCTTTAATCTTCATTATTGGTCACATTTTTCTTCTTCATGTGTCTCATAATTTTTAAATGTATACTAGAATTTTTTATGGCAACTTAGAGACTGCTTTTAAATTTTTTTTATTTTATTATTATTTTTAATGAAAAGAAGGCTAGCACTTTCTTCCAGGTACATATTTCAAGGGATAAATCACCATATCTGTATCATCAGGAATTCAATAAAGTTAGGACTGGAGAGAAGCTTTTGTCCATAGCTGGTTTTAAATGTTTTACGGGTATGTGATTTTTTCTAGGTTTTTCAGGTAAATCTGTTCCCAGGCTTTGTGATGCTGCAGGAGATTTCTCCCTTCCTTTCCATCCCTTAGCTCCTCACTCTATTCTCTCACTCAGGAAATAGTCTCTGGGAAGAAATGGCTGTGTGTTTGGGGTTCCTCTGGATTCCCATCCAGCTGGATTTTCTTTCTCTTAGAAGTTTTCTCAGCCTGTTACAAACCCAATTCTCAGCTTAAGCCCCGACCTACTAAACTCTCCCAAGACAGAAAAACTCCAGATTCATATCTCTCATTTCTTTTAAAACACAAGTTTGGAAAACTATGCTGTTATTATTTTCCCAATTAGTGGAATTTATAGCTTGTTGTTATTTATTATATTTTATTCAGCAATAGAAGCCATCCAATTATTGTATTATAATAAAAAGCCTATGTTGTAGGTCTATTTGTAAATATTTTGAAACATCTGTGTATAAGTGGGAAAATAAAACTTGCCTGAGTTTCTCAGTGCTCTCGCAAAAAGTCCTAGACTCGTGACAAACAAAATGTATATAATATAAAAATAAGGAATGTTTGCTTTCACTTGTCTTAGAAATATTTACTCTCTGCATGCCAGGGAATTAAATCTACAGCCATTTGTCTAGTTAACTAATCTGATCTGAAGAGATATTGAAACTCCTCTTATCTCCTCTACAGAGCTAAAGAGAGCACAAACAAGGTCCTAAATTAAGCCCCAAGGTGCCAGAAGTACTGGAACATTATCTTCCTTAGTATTTACATGTCAGAAGGGAGGAAACCCAGTATTTGCACACATTATCTGGAGTTTATCTAGCTCTCAGAAAGACATATTTATGTTTCTAAAGGTGAGGGTGAGAACACAGTATCCTTTCCATCACATCCTAATAGAATAAATGTTTTGTTCTTTTACTTTGGGAAAGGAGGAAACTATCTTTCTTCAGTATACAGCTGGAGATAATCCATTGTTCTCTGTCCCTCAGTTACAGGACACCTACTGCTAGCTTCATATAGTACTTTCATCTGCTCTCATCACATCACTTATATGACTATTGTGTGGGTACCCATAATGCAATGCTGTGATGCTCTTCTTCCTATTGATCTGGTTCTACTATCAATTACAAATGCTTTGCTTATGATCCAGGTGTTTGTGTGTGTGTGTGTGTGTGTGTGGGTGGGTGGGTGTGTATGTAGGATAACATCTCAGACATTTTACAACTTTTTTATACAGCAGTTCTATAATAGTTAAATATTTCATATTTTCATTAAATCACTCTTAAGTTTCACAACAAATTAAGATTATGTTAATGAATGGACTAACTTTTCTCAAGTGCACAAAACTATTCACTCACTCAATGACTATTGTTCATATTCCCACTGTGTGTCACCCTAATTTTGCCCTTGGGATACATTGCTGAATAAGGCAAACATGCCCCTAATCCAAGATGAGTATACATGACTATGCAATGTAATAGAGGAAGAATCCATCCAAATGTGCAACATAAAAACTTATTGCAAATTTCTGTTTGATTTTTATATTCCTACAACTTACATTCAACAATTTATCCAAAAGACTCACAGCAGAAGGAAATCCTGCTTTCACCCCATGAAGTAGTTTTCTTTGAAAAATGCTTGATAATTAGTACTTCAGAATTGATAGTAGCTACAAAAAAATGATTGAAAAGGACAGTGTGTAGGTATGTAGTAAATATATCACAGTGAGCATGAGCACAGATGTGTGGTGGGGGGTGGGGTACATATACAACACCTTTGAGCTCTGGTTAGAAATTGTCAGAAGATACATTATTTGAATAATCATTATAATTTTATAATCATTTATATTAACCATTAGACATTAATTGTTATCTACTAAAAGTTTTTTTTAGTGAGAAAAATATTTTTAAAATTTCAGTTTTTGTGTAAAGAATCTTTATACTTAAAGCATAATAACTTCATATATCAACCAGACAATTATAAGGTATGGTCACATACTTAAAGGATTAATTATGGGAATTACTTTATCATGAAATCTACCAAATTATTCTGGTGAGTATGCATACTGATACCCAGTGTTTTGTAAGCTATAGTACACTTCGTACTGTGTATTACAGGTTGTTAAGAGAATTACACTTGCAGCTATTGACAAGTAACATTACCTAGACTTTATACTATTTCTGCAATGAAAGTAAATAAAGACTTGAGAAAATTGTCCAAATTCATAATTAACTGAATGCTTGCAGTATCACATTCCAATATTTTTTCAAGTTACTTCTTACCTATACAATTATGCTATTTTTGAGACTAGACATTGGTTATTTCTCAATAAAGATATAAGTGTGTGTTATAATTAGCAAAAAAAATTTAACTTCTAGAAAATATATATGCATATATAGTACTATATACTGTATATGATATAATATAAAAAGAAATCAAGTTGATTGGCATGTGTATATGCATATATGAAAAAAGCTTAAGCATTATTTTAACATATATGACAAGGAACAAAAAGTTGTCCTATTGATTTTCAATTTGAAAACAAAATATTGATTCTTATTGTACAATTTGAAATAAGAAGACTTGAGGAAAACCCTCATTATAGTGTAGATGACTGCAGTGAACTTTGTGTTAGAGAAAACTCTAAAGTTATGAAAAACAGAACAGAGACTTAGGATGTGACTAGATAATACAAAGCAGAGAGCAGAGGGACCCAACAGTCTACACTTCACAGCAGAAATTCAATTAATAAAAGTTACATACCCAAAATTTTTCTTTCTTCTGATGTGCTCCTCTCAGTATGCCCCATCTACAAACAATAGTAGTGTTGTTATGAATGTTTTATTTGTATGCAGTTTATTGTCATTTAACTTTCCTTTGCCCCACTCTGTTTTACAATGAAGATGTTATCATTGCCCTGTGGGAAGTCTTTGTATAACTTTCCTCTTTATTCTAACATCATTTATGTGCACATAACAGATTCATCTATATCCAAATACTTTGAAATATAATTCATTGACCAAAAGAGAGATATCCTAAGGCAAAGGGGTACAGTGATTTTCAAGTACTTAAATATTGCCCCCTCTCTATCTAGCCCTCTGAAATGCTATCCTAAAAGAAATAAGCAAATAAAAATATCTTGAAGACTACTGATGAAAATCATAATGGAAATGTAGATGATTGTTATAGATTAGGAACTTTATATAAAATATTTATATTTATGTATTCTTTAATTAACTGGTAATATGCCAAATTTATGTATCCATCAGTATATAGTGTGACTATTGAAACTTATGTTTCCAGTATTAATTCATTTTCATTTCCTTTTTGTTTTTTCCAGGTACTGGGAATTGAACTTGGGTGCTTTACCACTGACCCTTTTTATTTTGAAACAGTGTTTTGCTAAGCTGGCTCAACTTGGGATCCTTCTGCATTAACCTCCCAAGTTGCTGGGATGTACCTTCCCTTCATGCCTGACAATACTGGTCCATTGTCAGTGTAACATATAACAGTTCATAAAGAACCTAAACTTTTAATATTTAATTCTATTAAGATAGTAAGGTAAGTATTATTCACATGTTCCATTTACAGAGATAATGGACATTTATCCAAAATCACATAGTAGGAAATGTTAGGCCAGGAACCCTATCTCATGTTCTTGTTAACATATTATATTGCTCTTTTCCTTATACAACCTCCAACTGCAGTATGTCCTAAACAACATTGATTTTAATGGAGAAAGCACATTGAGTACCACCTTCATGGAGTTTGAAGTATTGTGAGAATATAATTAATTCTGCCATTTGTCATCTCATTACCTATTCCTAATATCCCAAATCCCATCATCAGAGTTCCTTTGCACTAAACTATGACCCACCATTACACTACAACCATTCCTAGGAGAGATACACTTAAAAATGTATTTTTCAATATGTCAGTTTGCTGAAGTCTGTCTTTGATGGAATTTGGAATAGAAAGATGGTATTATAGCAAAAAGTTACTTTCTAAAGATGACAGGAGATCTTCTGAATCCTTTATCATAAAAGCAAAAGAGACAAAAAAGTGATAGGATGGGAAAACTCTAAAGACAAACTTTGCACAAATTTCCTTTGTCTTGTTTCTGATATGGAGTGATAACTGTACTGATCACATCTCTTTTTGTGTTTTACGACACTGTTCAAAATGTTCTGGGCAGCTTGTGTAAGTCGGGTTTGGTTCAATTTTCAAAACCATTTCATAGTTTTATAAGTGATTTACATTTTTGCAACTTTTCTTTAAAAACTCATTACCACTGGAAAAAAATTGATTAGTCATAATGTAAGTGCCCCCAAATATTCAAAGCCCATTGCCTATTTGAATTAGTAGATCACATCTAAAATCTTCAATTACTTATTTTCTATTTATTTATAAAACAACTTTCAAAATAATTTCCAAAGTCTTTACTAGTCAAACTTTCTTTTCAGATGATCTGGATGATCTTTCCAGGTGATCTCACATAAAGCCATTTGCATAAAATATAAAATCTAAGGCTAAATCAGAACCATCTACAGAATCATTCAGTGCTGAGATTATACACGCAGGGCAGAGACCTCATATTATCTGAGATTCCAACAAATAGGGTAAGAAGTTATGGAAAGTCCTGCTTAAACCACTACAAAGACTCCTACTAAGAAAGATCTCTCAATTAAGAAACAGCTATCCAAGCAAGACAAGCTTGGCCCAGTTATGAAGCCTTGGTCTAAAGGGAAGAATAGCAACTGAGACTCCAATTTCTTGTCTATAACTCAGATCTGTCCAAGCTCAGCTCCCACATTGGACTTGGCTAAGGTAGGACTTGGAAAGGGACTCAAAGACTTGTCATTAAAAACTAAAAGACCTATTTCACTAAATACTGCATTTTGTAGAAAACTTTTAATAACACTCAAATAAAGGATAAACCAAAAGTGATCAATGTTTCTTTCCCTTCTTGTAAGCTTGTTCAAACTTCTTGAACTCTAGTGCACTGAGAGTGAAGTACAAGAGGACAAAATAGTATTTAATAGAGGAAAGAGAAAAAAATAAACAAGAAAAATATACCATAGAATAAGTGCTGCATTTACAAATATAACCATTTGATATAATCCTAGGGACCCTCAAAAATATTGAGATAATATTTAAGGGATGAAGAGTCACAATATCATATGGGCTTAAGATTCAGCAACATGAAAACCAGACATAATTCCTCTATCAACAAATTAAAGACCAGAGAAACAAAACATTTCATCACAAAGGGGAAGATGTATTTTGTAACATACTTGTGTAATTTTTTTAAATTTTAGGATTACTAAATAAATTATATGTGAAATAAATTGTCTTAGTTCAGGGGCTTTTAAGAAATATGAACTTCTTTCCACATGCCAACATATTCATTATGTTTCCATATAATTCATTGTGATTATCTAAAAAATATTTTCGATGATGTAAAATACTGCAATAATTCCTAACTCACAAATCTATCAACTCTTTTCCAGAAGCATGTTTATTATAACTTTAAAGTGATTATAAAACTAATTTATTTTTAAAATACATTTATTTTTAAAACTTTGTATTCATGCATATAATTTATGCAAAGTAGTGAGTTTTGTTATGTCATATTTGTGCATGCCTATGACAATTTGGGCAATTCCATTCCCCAGTATTTCCCCTTTCTCTCTCCTCCTGCCTCTCCAATTTTCTTGCTCTATTCTACTGGTTTTCCTTCTATTTTCACAAAATCCCTCCACTTTTTTTTTTCTCTCTAGCTTTCACCAACAAAAGAAAACATACAACACTTCTCTGAGTCTTGCTTATTTCACTTAACATAATGCTCTCAAGTTCTGTCCATTTCCCTGAAAATCACATAATCTTGTTTTTTTATGGCAGAATATTAATTCTTTTTTATACATACCACGTTTTCTTTAACTATTCATCTGTTGATGAACACCTAGACTGGTTCCATAATTCGATTATTATGGATATTGTTGCTATAACATGGGAATGTATATATTTCAAAATAATTCTATAATTCTTTTGGATAGATTCTGAGGAGTGTATAGCATACAGTACTTTCTTTTTTTTTTTTTTTTTTTTTTTTGGTTTTTAAAATAACCACTATACCACTTTCCATAGGAGCTGTAATAATTTACATCCCAATGACCGTGTGGGTTCCCTTTTTCTTGTATTCTCACCAGCATTTATTGAACAATACACTCATTTTAAACTAAGAAAGAACACCAGGATTCAGATTATTATAAACCTTTTCAAAATGGACAACAAAATAAGTTAGTCAAATATTCAACTAGAAGTGAGAGAAGAAAAGGAAAGTAAGGCAGTTGAATGAATTTAATAGTTTTAGAGATTTGCTTCTAAAAGAAACATTTAAAAAAAGAGTGTTAACCATTATGCAAAATTCAAATAGGAAAAACACACCAAAAACAGAAAAATATCACTATAGAAGACATTGTTCAGTTCACCTATGTTATAGTCTCTGGGTGAAATGACAAGCAAGATCCATTCATCAAAGAGTTTAACATTTGCACTATGACCCTCGACTATCACTTCTGTCTCTCATCTTCTGAAGAAAGTTCCTAAGATGGTAAGCAAGTATCTCAGAATTACAATGGGGTGTTGTAAAGAAATAAACCTGTGGATGGTTTTCTAAATATCCCATGCTCTGAAAGACTAGGAAAAGTCACTTTGTCCCAAATGATTTCCTTTTGGTATTATAGAAAAATTTATGTGGTTCAAACCTTTATTCAAATAAGGTTGACTAGTGCAAAGCAAGATTGCTTATTCACTTTAGAAGAAAATTTATATTTTCTTAATCTGTGGAAAACATTTTTTCTTAATATACTTATGTATGTTTCTGAATTGTGTACTTTTACATTTATACCATTTATACCATTGGGCTGAAAATTCTAGAAATACACATATATTTCCCCAATCTCCACTTGTAAATCAATGACTATCTTTGTGGACATAATGTTTTTTGTTACATTTATATTCGATATAAAAAATAACTATTTCTCTTTATATATACCTATTAATTTTAAGAATTGTATACAAACGAGTTCAGATAGACTAGCACCTTATTTGGCTGAGATTATTTCCATAAGCTTGCTAAGTAGGTTCACCAGCTTGAGAGATCTTAACACTGACTTTTCTTGCCTGAAGGGAATCCAATTAATTTGAACTTTATACTATTCTTTTGAATTTTTTCTACCTCATCAAGTTCAATGTTTTCAACTATTCAAGATTTATTAATACATCCTTTCTCTCAAAATTGAGGAACGTTTTGGGAAATGCTGGTTTTGAAAAAATCTGGGCAGGTCTTAGCCCATGAACCACATTCCATGAGTGTCTTCTGGGCTCTCTTTCCCCCCTGTGCTAAGATGCAGGTACATCACCTCAGTGCCTCTGTCCATCAGGTTTTATCTTGCTCCTCACTTTTGAATACCTAAAAAACAGAATTCTATTTTATAATATGAAAAGCCTTTAAGGAAAGACTTTTCCTTGAAGTTCCTCAAGTAAAGCCTTACAATACCTAAAAAGAATGATATAAGATTTTGTATTTCTAAGGTTATTGATGTCTTTATGTCCATTCCCTTTAAAAGAGACATTTTTAGATAACAACATTAAGTGATACTAAACTTCTTAAAATCCCATTTTAAGCTATGTCTAGATAGTAAAATGATCATAACAGAATAATTAATTGGGGTGAGATCTTAAATGATAGATTTTTTCTCCCCTTTGGTTTTTGTAGATTTTACCATGGAGGCCCATACACCCGGT